CAGTCCCCTGGTTCCACCCTCCAAACCCCCCCCCCCCCCCCGTGTTGTTGATGGCGGTCCGGTGTACTCTGTCAAACGTCTCCTGTCAGTGAGAAATCGAGGCCGAGGTCGTCAATTTCTGGTTGATTGGGAGGGCTACGGTCCTGAAGAACGGTCCTGGGTCCCGTCCAGTTTTATCGTGGGCAAAGACTTAATCGAGGACTACTACAGGTGTCATCCGGAGGTCCCAGGGCCGTCAGGTGTCGTCCCTAGAGGGGAGGGTACTGTTGTGCGTAGACGGCTCTGCTAAGATTGTTCCCTAGTTTAGGTTTCATGTTATGTTTAGATAGGTTCCTGTTTTATTTTGATAGTCTTGTCTACCCTCATGTGTCTAAAGTACGTTTCCTGCCTTGTCTGTTTTCCCACGGTTGTGATTGTCTAATTGTCTTCACCTGGTGTTGTCTGTCTAGTATATATAGTTCTCGTCTTCCCCTGTCTCGTTGCCAGAATGTCTTGTGTGTTCCAAGCCTTCCAGCGTAAGATCCTTTTGTCATTGTCCATAGAGTTAGATTAGTGTATTAGTAGTTTTTGTTTTGTTGCTTTATGTATTCAGTGTGTTATGACCTGTCTACATTAAAACACTTTATTTTGATACTTTGTTTGTCTCTGCATTGTGCATTTGATTCCACGCCCTTGTACAGCCCTAACATCCACACATTGCCAAATATTACGATATGTGCGTTATTTGGATAAACAAATCTCATACTGGTGTTCTAAATTATTGCTTTCTTGCTTGATTTGTGTTATTACTTATAAAAACGTACTTTATTTTAAAGCCTATAAACATTTTCTTTGGCTAGTAAAGTTTGAAAAAGCTGGCGACGCGATTCAAAATCATAGAAATGACGCTGTCACAGTAAGTACACAAAAGAAGGCAACGTGGAAGCGCCCTTGAGCAGGCGAAGCATAAGGTGAATAAAACTGCAGTGCTGGAAATCAGAATGTGCATCAAAGGTCTGATAAACCTGCTGCCATGCTTCTATTGCATCCTCTCCCCTCTCAAGTGATCATATCTCACAGTCTGCTGCTGCTAATGAACTTACTCTCCCACCCATGTCAAGAATCTGAGGCTGAATCCCAGGCACAGTGCTCCTAATCCACTCTAAATGACGGGCAGGATCTCTGACCCACTGCCCTGATTCACCCGTGTTTTCTCCTCACATTACACAGGCTTCAACTTGTTTGGGTTTATCTTACGGCTTAGGGTAAGTAAAAATGATCCTCTTACTCAATTAAACACATATTTTTGGGACACAATAGTTGAAGAAGAGGACAACTGTGATGATAGAATTTAATTGCAGAATACAACCTGAAGTATAAACAGTGTGTTCTGTTGCAGGAAATGCAGAGCAGTGATTGTTTGCTTCTAATTAATTTGTTTACAACAACATGCACTTCATACATGGACATCAACATGGAGCATTTATATCCCCTTGATTAAAAAAGAAGGCAGTGATCCAAACCAAACACCATGAATTGTTTTTCCTTTTGCACACGCTAAGAATTGCAGAATCCTCTCCAGTCCAGATATAATAGCGATGAAAATGAATATCCTGGGGTAAATAAACTGGATTTCACTTTGAATTCTGTCACGTGGAATAGAGAACGAGATGCAGACTGCCCTGCTGGTTATATCACAGTCAGTGTGCCCGGGCTCTGCATGTGGACAGGCCCACAGGCTCACACTGCCTACTGCTACACCCTTGACTTCAAGGCAGGCATTAAAATGGAGTGGTGGTGGTGGATTATGGGGTTGAGGGGGGCGGTGTGTGTGTGTGTGTGTTTAGGGGTGGGGGATGTTTTACCCTGCTGCAACCACTGACAAAATGTTGTTTTCTTTCAATATCCTATTCACACCATTGTCAAATCAACTTAAAAGTGGGATTCAAATTAAATTAAAAAAACATGCGTCATTGGATGTCCTTGTACATTTCCATTCCTACAGGGGACTCTACTCTGTTTTGTTGTATCCGTAGGAGAAATACTCTATTGGTTTCATTCAAGTCAGCTCTGCTCTTTAGTGCGGAGTGCACCTGCAACACCCACAGACGGAACATCTCCGTGCGTAAAAATGTTATCCTAGGTGCCTCGGTGCGTCAGGTGCTGCTCATTTCCTTAATGCAAATGCCCCCTCTCTGTGCGCGCTCACCTCCAGCAGTTGCTTGCCCTCAGGACCGGCCGGTATCCGCCTCTGCTCCTTTAAGGCAATGAGGAATTAAAGCGTCTGCAGGGGCAGGCAGAGGGTTATTCTGTGTAATGCTCAGAGAGTCAGGGAGGTGCGATTAGAGAGCGGCATGCAGCGGGGAAGATGCGCTTGCTCGCCTCTTGCTGGACGCTCAGAGGCGAAGATGATCTGACTTTGGAGTCTCAGAAAAAAACCTGCTTTTCATTCTTATTCTACCACCCTCTCTCCCTTGTTTGCTTCTTTTAGTTATTTAATTTTTTCCAATATATTCTTTTTCCTCTCAAAGGATGATCCGTCAGTCATTCTTTTATTATTTAAGAAATCGGAGCTTTTTTAAGAAATAGTTTTTTTTGCAGTTTTTGTTTCGCTCGTACTCGGCTCTGACTCAGCTACACACACACACACACACACACACACACACGCACACGCACACGCACACACACCTGGGCTTCACCCATTCAGCATCCTTTTGAATAAGCAGCAAGACGCGGAGCAGAGGAGGAGAGTGAGCACAGCTCTCCCCAAGACAATCACACACGCGCATTTATGATCCGAGCGCAAAGAGAGGGCGCAGAGGAAGAAAAAACCTCAGTGTAACGAAAAAGTAAGGAAGGAGATATTAAAAGTAGATACTTGGACCGGTTTGCATCAAGACAGTGGCAAATGTTTAACCTTACCCCAAGCGCACAGAAGAGAAACCCAGGGAGGCACCGGTCGGAGGAAGAAGAGAAAGCATAGCTTGGGGGGATTGAACGGAGCAGGGCATGTGGATATTGGCTTTTATCTTTTTCCAGAGCATCTTGAATGGTAAGTTTCTTCCGCTCATTTTGTTGTTGTTTAATTATTAGTGCTCATTACCTATTGCATGAGGCAAATCAGCGGCTAAGTGAGGCAGGGTGGAGGTCACCTGTGACCCACATGAAATTGATTTTATATGCTTGTCAAAAAGGCTGACACCCTTCACATGAGACACGGGCGAGGCATCTATTGCGTTTACAATCTCTCCTAAAACACACACACATCACTGGCCTTCAGTTACATCCTGAGCCAGATGAAATAAAAAGCATAAATTATGTATGTTTGGGCCTTTAAAAAAAATGAATTACACTTATTTTATTGATTTGAGGATTTAAGTTTAATTTTTAAATGTGTTAATCTCATTAATGCAATTTATTTTTATTTGATGCCTAATGATACTTATTCTGCTCCACCGTGGCCCTTAGTAATAAGTGACGTATTTGATATAATGGATATTTGGTTTAACCCCTTCCCCCCTCCCCCACAGTTAGCATATTTTTCAAGTTTAAAGTGGCCTAAACTATTATAATTCATTAAAATGAAAAATGTTTACCCATATCTAATACATATTTTCATTATGAATACGTGTGATGCAAAAATGTTTGTAATTATGGGTCGTTCAGTGTTCCCAAAATCTCGACATGCAATTTCGTCTCCAATGTATACAGCTTTATGTAATTTACCTTCAGTGATTCAGCACCATTAGTACAAATTGTTCTTGTAAGTAATACAAAAATGTAATGTTGATTATGAGACACATTCCACAGAGGTCACATTTAAAAAAAAAAAAAAAATGTGACACACATTTTCCATTCAAATAGCCCAAAGTCTCATTCTCCATTCAAATGCCGTATTCAAAAACACCCATTTGCTTGTTCGCCTTGTATTCCATGTATGTTTTTGAGCGAGTGTAGTGCACACATGCATGCGGCTAACACCGTGCACGCAAATCTGTGTGCTCGTATCTATAATCAATAGCAGAAAATTGATACAGTTTATTGCATTCATTTATTGGTCAGAGCCCCTTCTAACAGGGAGGGATTATGGCTGACTGGGTGTGTACGAAAACAAGGCAAGAAAAAAAAAGGGAGAGTCGAAGATGGAGAGGGAGAAGGAAAGAAAATGGAAACGTCTGTGAGAAAACACATCAGGGTGACAAGATGGGGATTGTTCACGTACACTGAAACCAAAATCAAGCCCCGCGGTCGGCTACATTCGTGTGAAAAAAGCTGAATTCACAAAGCAACAATTTGGAGATTTACAGGTATAAACACATTTAGATATGATATCCCCAAAATGGATTTTCCCCTTCTGGCTGGCGTGATAAAATAACGCTTTGGAAATGGATTTTTGTTTCTGTGTCGTCGCTACGGTTTATTGACACTGACTCCATATAAAATGGTATCTCCCTCAGCCCAGCTTGTGCTGAAACTCATAAAGGAACAATAAGGAATCCTCATTAATCATAATCATCTGCCTCTGACATTAGATCAACTGCCATGCAAGATTGTGTCCGTTTATTGCATGAGGGATTATGGAGGAGGCCTGTGGAAAAACAACTGATAGGGATTAAGCAGCAAGACGGCGTTGGGTGCAGACGTTACACTTTGTGTGTGTTTTCGCGCCGCTATCATGGAGGATTTTTTGCATTTGATTCCCCTTCGATCCCTGCAATAAGACTTTGTCCTCTGCGGATGGGTGTTTTTGTTGATTATCATGAAAATGAAGGTGTATCGAGCAGGCGGTGTCAGAATGAATGAATGAATGAATGACCTTGTGGATGGAAACCAGCAAAGCAATTGGATTCCAGACAATTCTCGCTGTTTCAGAGTTGGGCCTATCACATGCTCACTGGTCTGTCTCTATGGTAACCCCCTCAATGGGTGTCAGGGGCTGCGTCCGAAAACCTTCACTCTATATATGGGGGTAGAAAAAACGATGTGTTGTCAAAAAATGAAACACGATTCAAATGCATTTCGTCTGCTGTGTTTGGTTTTATTATTATGCTTCCAAGACATATCACACGGCACTACAAAATGGCAGACGGCAAGGAAATAATGGGAATGTTTTGGGAGATGGATTTGGGAGTGTGGTTTAAAACTGCGTTGACCCATAAGTACTTGATAAGCTAATCAGCTTCTGTTACATCAGTGTGTGCATAGGTGATAAGAGGGCTTCTTATCCACATTGCATTGTGGTCATTTTACTGCACGTGTCACCTGAATGACCCCAGCGATCGATTGAATAGAACGGAAAATGGATAAAAATCTGCACAGTGTTCACAAAATGTCACATTGTAATTGCTTTCATCATGGAAATTGATTTATCATAAGCAATCAAATTAAAATCAAAGTCCTCCTTAGTCATTTTTTAAGACTTTTGCTATTTCCTGTGCCTATCACAGTATGATCCATAAATTCATTCATCAGTACAGGAGAGGAAACATATTAAATATTTCTCCCTGAAAGCTGCCTCTAGGCAAAACCACAGCGAGCCAAACTGGCCCTATTCAAATCCTCATTGCAAAGACATAACAAGACGAGGCTCCTCGCACACTGCGATGATTTGTAAGACGTACACACGGCTCAACCTGATTCTCGAGACTTAAAAGGGGCTTATCTCGGACATCTCGAATAAATGAACATTTACGCAGAGGTCAGGGGATCACGCAATCAAATGTTGCTCTCAATTAGCCGTGACATTACACGGGGTAAAGGCAGATCCACTTTGAAATAAGGAAGCTCTTCCAAAGCATCTCGCCCAGTGTAGCTTACAGTACAGTAAATAGCTGCCAACATCAGTTAGCCTGCCAGTTTTACATGACCCCACATTATTACTAACCTGGAACACTAGATCAAGATGCTACAGGGAGCCGGTGGGGAGGATAGATAGATTGAATTTGGCTGCAAAAGTAGATTGGGGGATTTTTGCATCGCAATAAATCGACATGATGCGATGAAGGCACTGATGAGAGACCCGTTTGTTGGAGCTGTGAGGTGATTCTGAACCCGGTGTCGAAATGTCCAAAGATCAGCGGTCACAGTCGCTCTGAAAAACAAAAAAAAGGGAAACTTGACCAGTCGTACACAGGCATGGGGAGTAGTGGATTACATGTAACAGATTAATAAGGATACAAAAAAAGTAATTTCCTTAGTTACATAAAAAAAACGTAATCAGATTACTGTTACATTTCTCTTATTTGGGCCTCTAGCCTCGGCCTCTAGTTCAAATAATTATTTCACTGGGTCGAACTTCTATACTGTATGTGGCAAACTAAATCGGAGCATTTTCAGTTTGCTCAGATTTTCCTTTAGATTGTTTGCAGTCTAAAGGCTCCATTGGACTCCTGTGTTTACTTCCGGAAAGTAGTGACATAACTATGTTACACTTGCACTTCTATTGGCTGGTGCTCCAACACATTGTACGTGATAGGCTAAGGGGCGGGACATCTCTAAGCGGTTGACGAATCACCACGGAGCCGGTCAGCTAACCAATCAGAGCCGAATGGGCTCTGGTTTCAGACAGAGGGTGAAAAGAGGTGCTGCAGCACAGGCAGTATGAGAACAATAAAGAGCTTTTTGAACATAAAGGCATGGAGACATGTCACAGAGACACAAAATACAAATATGAACCTGAACAGGAGCAGAATATGTCCTCTTAAATAAAAAGTGGGTTTCTCTAAAAAGGTTTATATTTTTCTCTTTTCTTACATAATACACTTAGGTATTCATATTTATTTTCTCTTGTCTTTATATGCATTGCATTTGATTTTGAAATAATCCAAAAGTAACTTAAAGTAATTAGGTTACATAACTTTTATATTTTGATACTCAGTTTATACTGATTACATTTTTTTTACAGGTAATAAGTAATTGTAACGCAATACATTCACCCTTCCAACCCTGGCCATACGCTGCACTCACTGCCATTAGTGTGTTTACTAATTACCAATTATGGTTTGTTTGCAGAAGTGGTATCACAGCTCATGAAATTAAATTAGCCCATGAAAACACGTAGCGCACAGTCAAGTGATAGATCCTCTCATGCAGTCTCACTCTGATATGAATATCTAATGGGCCAAATGAAGTTTACAAACCCACTTAACTGTTGCTCACTTGTGTGAGTTGTGAGAGGGTTTGTTGGGTTACGGGCTGGACTCAGTGTGTGACTCCAGTTGAAAGGGCTGCTAATGTTGGGTAATGGAAACCCTGATGTGTGATCATAATAGATATCCCCTATTTCATACATCCCAGCTGTATAATGAGGGCTACTCTACTGTACCGTACCTCCTCGAGCCTGTCTGGCTCTCTAATTAGGAGCCAGCTTTGGCGACTGGTGTGTGTGTATGTGTGTGTGTGTGTGCCGTGTTTCACCCAATGTAAAATCTAATTACCGATCACACTGTGTCTGTCTGGATTCCACTGAATCAGAGGTGTAATTGCGCAAGCCCGCGTGTAAATGTCTCTTGCATTAAAAATGTTAACGATATCATTTAGCATCTGTGGGGAAGAGCAGAGAAGCCCTCAGCACCCAGATGTAGGTGTTTGATCATGCGTGCAAAGTGAGGTTGTAGTACATCTGGCGGGGGTTTCCCTCTCAGACAGGGTTCTCAGCAGAGAGGATGTTTTTAATTCACTCAGCACCTGTCAAAGTGACATGTTATATTACTGTGCTGTGCTGCACAGGTACTGTAGGGGAGGATCTGGTGTAAAGGCTTTATTTTGACAATTGAAAACAGCCTAAGTCAAGAAAGAGCCCCTCTGCTCTCCTGTGCTGGAGTGCTTCTTTATTGATTTAGTTTCAAAGATGTAAGGACGAAGAGTGCAAAGGTTTAGAAAATACATACCTCAGACATGAGAGAACTTGACCCAAGTCTGTTAACTTTTTATATACGATTAACTATTCTTTAAACACTACAGAGCCCATACCGTGTTCCTGTTAGCGTTTACTTCCTGTCTGTCTTCTTCTGCTGTTCCCGTTAGTGTTTACTTCCTGTCTGTCTTCTTCTGCTGTTCCCGTTAATGTTTACTTCCTCTCTGTCTTCTTCTGCTGTTCCCGTTAATGTTTACTTTCTATCTGTCTTCTTCTGCTGTTCCCGTTAATGTGTACTTCCTGTCTGTCTTCTTCTGCTGTTCCCGTTAATGTTTACTTCCTGTCTGTCTTCTTCTGCTGTTCCCGTTAATGTTTACTTCCTGTCTGTCTTCTTCTGCTGTTCCCGTTAGTGTTTACTTCCTGTCTGTCTTCTTCTGCTGTTCCCGTTAATGTTTACTTCCTGTCTGTCTTCTTCTGCTGTTCCCGTTAATGTTTACTTCCTGTCTGTCTTCTTCTGCTGTTCCCGTTAGTGTTTACTTCCTGTCTGTCTTCTTCTGCTGTTCCCGTTAATGTTTACTTCCTGTCTGTCTTCTTCTGCTGTTCCCGTTAGTGTTTACTTTCTATCTGTCTTCTTCTGCTGTTCCCGTTAATGTTTACTCCCTGTCTGTCTTCTTCTGCTGTTCCCGTTAATGTTTACTTCCTGTCTGTCTTCTTCTGCTGTTCCCGTTAGTGTTTACTTTCTATCTGTCTTCTTCTGCTGTTCCCGTTAGTGTTTACTTTCTATCTGTCTTCTTCTGCTGTTCCCGTTAATGTTTACTCCCTGTCTGTCTTCTTCTGCTGATTTATCTGATGCCCAGTCTAGTAGTAACATTGTAATTCTGCTAGTACTCTCCATTTTTTTTTAAATGCAACTGCAATCCGATAACGTCAGATTTTATGTAACTGTCAGGGAGTACAGTTATTTGTTCTTGTATCCTGCTTTCTTAGATGTAATCTGTTACACCCCAAGCCTGCATCTGATAGACTGTGTTTATACCAGCCTATGGTTTATACACACACTGCACATTGGCCCCACAGCTTTTGTTCACTGTGGAAAGACAGGTGGCGTAGGTGTGATGAGTTTGCTATCAATCACCCACCAAGACAAACATTCAGGCTGGACCTCATAAATACTGCCTCTTAATCCAGTCCTCCACATACCAGGGCGAGGCTTTGAACTCAACACACTGCGAGGCCCAAGGCTGAATTGATCCCTGCGACTCTGGCCTGGCCATGATGCATTTGTGTCTTTCTCTTTTTCCCTCTTGTATTGGTCTTATATGTGCCCACCTTAAAGAGGATATGTTTTCCTTTTGGCGTTCTCCCTTTCATGTTGTATAGGTTGTGTTTTAAAGGTTTTTTGTGCATGTAAAGTCTGCAAATGCTAAAATCCCAAAGTTCTTGAACATAGTGACATTACATGACATGTTACTTGTTAGACGCTTTTATCCAAAGCGACTTACATACTCAATACTGTGGACAATCACCACCGGAGCAATTTGGGGTGAAGTGTCTTCAGGGACACAACGACATGCTGACTGCTGTGGGGTTTGAACCTGTGCTCCCCTGATCCGGACACCAACGCACAACCTACTACGCCACACGCCTCCACATCCTGACATCACTTTGTAACAGCCGTGCTCCTATTGGCTGGCGCTCCAACGCATTGAACGTGATAGGCTAAGGGGTGGGACATCTCTAAGTATTTGACCAATCTCAGCACAGCTGGCCAGCACAAAATACTAATATAAACTTGAACATTTGCAGAATATGTCCTCTTAAAATAATATGCTCACAATCTCTCACACTCAGTTTTCAAACCATTGCATCTTTGCAGTATTTTCCACATCTCTTATTATTCAACATCGCATTAGAAGGTATTTCATTTACCGTGTTTCTGAAGCTCCACAGTCCCAATATTAAAGTAGGCTAAGGGATAATGGAGGAGGCAAACCAGGATAGACAGAGTGACAGAAAGACAAATGGGTCCAGCTTGGTTTCTCGACAGTGCTCTTTATTTTTAAACCTGGCACAGATGCTAAGATTTAAGACCAAGTTAGTGGTGGTTATTTTTAGCCCAGCAATTTTTAAAGCGCTGTCATCTTGTTTGGGTTGAGGTAAGGTGTGTGTGTGTGTGTGTGTGTGTGCATGTGTGGGTGCTTTATTGTGTGTTTGCGGGTACAAGTACGTCTATACATGTGTGGGGTTACGGGTGTGTGTGCATTTAATTGGGGATCTGGGGTGGGAGGGTGGGTTAGGGTGTGACGTGGAGTGGAGCCACAGGAGTCTGATTTATGTCCTTCTAGCCACTCATCGATCCCCCAGCCCGGTGTGAGACTGAGTGCATTGTCAATAATCTTAGCACTTTGTGGTATTCCTAGAATTCCCAGACCTCCTCTGCTCAGACCTCGGTGTGATGCTGCAGTAAGCCATCTTGTCCAAAGTCGAATAAGAAGGCGGAGGGTAGCATTTGATTTTAGGGCAGTGAATAGATCATTCTGCAGTGCCTGCGCTGTTGAGGACAAATCAAATGTTATGTGCTGTTGCTACTTTAAAACATTTTTTTTTTTTAAATCAGCAGCCTAATGAGTATCACAATCTAAAAGTAATGTAACCTGATTACCTTCTGTTACTTTTGGATTACATCAATATGAAATGCAATTTCAAGAGAAAGAAAACATTTACAAGACGTTTTTCACTTAAAGGTAGGGTAGGTAAGAATAGAGAAACCAGCTGGAGTGCGCTAGAATTTGAAAGTACGTAGCTGAAAAGAATCTGCCTCTTCCTTCAGACTTCCTTACAGAGCCCCTCCTCCAACACACACGAACGCGCACATGACCAATGAGGGCACGAGATAAGTTTGTGCACAGATGGAAGGCTGATAGGCAGGTAGGCCATCCAGTTATTTTAGCCGAGCCGGCTCAGATGATTGGTCGTGCTTTTTAATGTATTCATTGCTATCGGGATGTTAAGAGCATTCCATGGAATATAACAAAAAGTGTTTCTGAAGTGAATTACCTACCCTACCTTTAAGTATATTATGTACAAAATTAATTATTAATTATTAATTAATGTGACCTTAGAAAAGAAGAAACCAAGATATCTGGGATAAAAAATGTGGTTTTCATTTATAGGAAAACCTGCCTTCCATTAAGCATATTCAGGCAGTAGCCGATACACCAACACTGAAACACACGAGCACATACTACAGTTTAAAAAAGCAGAAATAAAATATGAGCTGACAGAAAATACTCTGTTTAAGTTTAATACACAAGCTCGCACACAGTATTTTATTAACATATAAATTCACCTACTGAATTAAAAACAGAACAAATGAACAAAAAAAACGTGAAAACCATAAAGCCGATTCAGGCAGTAGGCGTATAGATTCACACTTAAAGTGTTAGCCTACAGAACAGAACAGTTTACAGAGAAGGAATACAATCTGATCCTTTTACGACAAACACTATGCTCTTTTTAAGTTGTACTAACACTGTAATCCTGCTAGTTATCCATTAAAAAATGTGTTTAACAGTAATCAGATAACATATGTGTTATGTAACTATAAGTGAATACTGTTACCTTGGTCTCTGGTAGCATGTAGCTGTTGACATGTTGCTAAGTGTCTCCGTAGACTGTTGCCAGGATGAGGTCTATTGCGTGTCCCTCTATCTAGTCCATCCATCCCCACAAGTGATTATGCTAATGAGTGTTTGATCAGATGATTAAATTAAAACTCGATTTATCCAAAGTACTAAATGCTCAGAATACATTTGTTTCTGCCGGCTTCACATGACCCTGCAGGAGAGGAGAGGATTAAAATGAGAGAAATTATACCAAAAAAAGACATTTAAAAAAAAGAGTAATGAAGCAAGCCAGGGGGCTGGGGGAGAGAGGAGGAGAGAAATATGGAAACAGAGAAAATAAGGATGTGTGTTTATGTGTGTGTGGCGAGGAGGAGTGGGGGGAGGGAGGGAGGGGGCTGAAAGGAGCCGTGCTGTGGTCCCCTAAGTGTTGAATAAACATGCTTGGTTTAGGGAAATGGCTGCGATAAATGTTTAATATGATAAGTCCATAAAGACGGTCAAATGAGTCTGGAGTATTAAAATGAGCGTGCAGCAGAAGCAGCAGCTTTAAAGGAGGAGGGAAGGAGGAGGGGGGGGCTGATAATGGCAGGCAGAGCTAACAGGATGAGAGCAGCCAGCTGCTGTGACATCAACATTAACACACTCCACCAGCTGCTGGTCACAGACGTCTGCTGGACAAAACAGGGACGACGGTGTGTCTTCAAAGGGCCGCTATGGCCTCCTAATGACATTATTACCTGTACAGCATTCGTCGTAAGATATTTGCATGGTTCAAAACAAAGTTAAAAAGTGCTGTTAAAAAGGTTCAAAAAGAAAAACAGAAACCAGGGGACTGATGCATCCACGGGCCAATAAAGATGAGTTACCACCTAGCAGAATTTGCAAAGTGATTTTTGCAACCATTTTACAAAGTGAATGTGTCCCATAGCCAGATAACATATTAAGGTAGCACATAAAAAAATATCCTTTAAGGCAAAAAGCCGTCAGTGTCAGGTCATTCTCTTCAGCAGCGCTCATGTCGCAGATGCTGCACACTGAAACCTTCATAAAAATCGCGTTAGCTTAGCTGGCATGCAGGTGGACAGCATTCATGTTAAGACACCATCAACAGCAGCTTTTCTGAAGGCCCTTAACCCTAATGTTTGATGACATAATAAGGTTGGTTGTCCAGTATGTGCCATGTCTACTTGTTTAAGTGAAGTAAGGCCTCTGCCAAAAGGCATCTGTGCACCGAGAACGCCACGGCTTAATCGCGTTATCAGCATGCTGACCATTAGATTAGTTTTGAGGGGATTCGATTATATCCACTCAAGTCTAAATCAGACATGTTTAAGAGAATCTTAAAGCATAGAAGTTTCTCATGGTTGATGTTGGCTGCAAAACTGGTGCCTTGGACTCATCCGAAATATAGCGAACAGGATGTCATAACAAAGACTGCAGCTAACTGTAACCATAGTTTGAGAACCCACTCCTTAACAGGTTGTAGATATTTGTTAAATGTTACTTTGCTGTATAAATGAG